ACACTTCAAGGCATAATATATTGCAAACAGCTTTAAATAATTTATATGTTTGATTCCAAGGGATTAAGATCACCAACCACAAGTAGTATCTCCATCGCAATATGCCCCCCATCCGTTTTTGAGGCACCTGAATAAATCTCATTTACATAGATATATCTTCATATTTAATTTTTTGTTGTAGGAGCGTGTGACAAATAGATCTAGAAATTAAAATTTTTATCTTATAACATTTATTAGCTTGGTGATATCCCACTTCGGCCGTTCTCACTTCGGCCGTTTTGAAAAATCTACCTCTTTTTGTCCCATTTCGGCCGCTTGTCCTTTTCATGCGTTTCAGGTAAAACGGATACGCTGCATTTCGGCCGGTCAATGTACAGTAAAAAGTGGCAATTACGCTTTGGTTTGGCAATTTTGGGAGCAGAGTTAATTATAAAAAAATATTCAAGTCGTTCAATTTAAGGCAAAAAATATTTGGAAATGTTTCATTACCGAAACAGATCTGAAATTGTGTTGCCACCACAATTAGCAGACAACTTTTTAGTTATATAAGACGGTGTTGAAGACGAAATGTTAATATTTATTAACGTATGTGAATCTTTATTAAAATATGTGAAGTATTTTTTGGAGACGAAGCATTTAAGAGCTGTTCTTTATTATTTTGTGAATCTTTATTAAAATATGTGAAGTATTTTTTGGAGACTGAGCATTTAAGAGCTGTTCTTTATTATTTTTTTAATTGTAAAAAGTACCGAGGATAGTCCTTCTATTATTCCGGTCATTTTTGCTCTTTTGCCGAATAAGGAAAAGAAAACCTATATAAGACTTTTGTCCTTGCTTGTTTCAAAGTTTAAAATTTTTTCTCCGAAAGTATTTACCTAAATTGGATTTTGAAGTAGCTACAATAAACGCAATAAGATATGTATTTTCAAAAACTGTCGTTCAATTCGTTTAATTTAAGAAATAATTGTAGACGAAGTGTTAAGGGCATTTTAAAGGGTGATTATCTCTAATAAAAAAACAATTTGTACCTGAACTTTATTATCAGTAATTGCTTGGTAATGCATAATTATTACTAGAAATACCAAATTATGTTCAAAAAATAGTAGACATGAGTATTAAATAAATACTCATAAAAAAGGATTAAAGGATTATTTACCCTGCCATTTGGATATGTCCTTTTATGTTCTTTTCGTAAATAATAAATATTTGTTTTTATTATCAGTAAAGATTTGAAAGTGAAAGGTGTTCTTAAAAATGGACAGTGAGATTGAAATTATTGAAACCAGCACTACTTATTAATGGTGGTTACAGATATCAGATAAAAGAAATTTATAAAAATGGAAATGTATCTTGGAGGTGTTCTAATAGAAACTGTGGTGGACGTGTTTCTACAACAAATGACAAGAAACAAATTTTGGGGAAAAAAGATCATACTTGTGTTTTGGATATAGCTAAAAGAGAAGTTGAAAAGTGTGTTTTTCAGTGTAAAAAGCTAGCAAGAGAAGAATTTACACCTATTCCTCAAATTGTAAGTAGTGAATTCAATGACATTAAAAATCTAGGACTGGAGTTTGTGACCAAAATTCCTGAGTTAAATTCAGTAAAATCAAACCTTTATCGTGCTAGGCAAAAAACATTTGGAAATGTTTCATTACCGAAACACAGATCTGAAATTGTATTGCCACCACAATTAGCGGAAAACTTTTTAGTTATAGAAGACGGTGTTGAAGATAAAATATTAATATTTAGTAACGGATGTGAATCTTTATTAAATGAAAGTGAAGTATTTTTTGGAGACGGAACATTTAAGAGCTGTTCTTTATTTTTTCAATTGTACACTATACATGTAGATGTAAAAAGTACCGAGGATAGTACTTCTATTATTCCAGTAATTTTTGCTCTTTTGCCGAATAAGGAAGAAAAAACCTATTTAAGACTTTTTTCCTTGCTTGTTTCAAAGTTTAAAAATGTTTCACCGAAAGTATTTAAATTGGATTTTGAAGTAGCTACCATAAATGCAATAAGATATGTATTTCCCAAAACTGTCATTCATGGATGCAATTTTCACTTTAATCAGGCCATATGGCGCAAAGTTCAAGATTTAGGTTTAGTGTTATCATATCGTAATCAAAGTGAAGTACGAAATCATATTAGAATGTGTGCTGCTCTGGCTCATTTACCCGAAGAAAATATCGATAAGGGATGGCTGATTATAATGGAAACTTCACCTATGAATGATCTAGTTATTAAATTTAATGATTATTTTACTTCACAATGGTTAGATAATCCAATTATCCAAAATATTTGGATATGTTCGGAGCACAGACATCGGACTACAAACGAAGTGGAAGGATGGCATAATAAATTAAATAAAAAAATTGGGAAAGGTCATCCAAACATTTTCGAGTTAATAACTGTATTGAAAGAGGAGGCTGCTTTAAATATAATTAAATTACAAAAAATAAATCTATATATACCAACTCCAAAAAGAATTAAAAAATACGTTGATATTGATATTAGAATTAAAAAAACATTAAATGATTTAACAAATTCATGTACATTACTAAATTTGAGTAAAATTGTGTTGTCATACTGTGTATTACCTATTGATTTTTTATTGTATCATTGGATTGTTTTATTCTAAAAAATATTGTAATAAAGAATTTGAGTTTATTAAATTTGTTTTTCTTTTAACTGTTTGTATATTATGCTAAAAAAATAACAAGTTTACAATATATAAACAAACGGCCGATATTATTTAAGTAATCTTAATCTAAATATCCCAAAAAGGTTGACCGGCCGAAATGTAACTCTAATCTTAATTTAAATATGCCAAAAAGGGCAACCGGCCTAAATGCAACTTTTTTATTTAACGGCCGATATGGGAACGGCCGAAGTGGTACTAAACCATTAGCTTTCCTTAAAGCTAATACTTTTTCCCGTTCAAAAATCTTGGTATATCATTTTTTTTTTTATTTAAAATCAGCACAAGCCGAAATTAATAACCCAATAAATTAAGCAAGCAGTCTAATTTTAATAAATTCTTTGTTCTTTAACTGATAAATCCAATTCAAAATGTTTAATCTATTTTTTTCTGTAATTTCAATTGTCATATCTACAGAATTAAAAACAATACCTCGATACACACACACACACACACACACACACACACACACACACACACACACACACACACACACACACACACACACACACACACACACACACACACACACACACACACACACACACACACACACACACACACACACACACACACACACACACACACACACACACACACACACACACACACACACACACACACACACACACACACACACACACACACACACACACACACACACACACACACACACACACACACACACACACACACACACACACACACACACACACACACACACACACACACACACACACACACACACACACACACACACACACACACACACACACACACACACACACACACACACACACACACACACACACACACACACACACACACACACACACACACACACACACACACACACACACACACACACACACACACACACACACACACACACACACACACACACACACACACACACACACACACACACACACACACACACACACACACACACACACACACACACACACACACACACACACACACACACACACACACACACACACACACACACACACACACACACACACACACACACACACACACACACACACACACACACACACACACACACACACACACACACACACACACACACACACACACACACACACACACACACACACACACACACACACACACACACACACACACACACACACACACACACACACACACACACACACACACACACACACACACACACACACACACACACACACACACACACACACACACACACACACACACACACACACACACACACACACACACACACACACACACACACACACACACACACACACACACACACACACACACACACACACACACACACACACACACACACACACACACACACACACACACACACACACACACACACACACACACACACACACACACACACACACACACACACACACACACACACACACACTTGTTTGAAGCTATAAGGGAACTTTTTTCTTTGTTTATTACGAAACCTAAGGATTTTACTAGATTCATAGTAAAAAGAAGGGGTGACTGACATTCCTCTTATGTATTACTCATATTTCAAATATCAGTTTTATCTGATGTAGCTCCTGATCTGGTGCCATTTCCGTTTCAGCTTTCTTTTTGCACAGATAAGTTTTTTAATTTAGTTAGGATAGTTATTTCCTGTTATTCTATAAGCAATAGGTGGGACATTATCCCATGCTGCTGCTGTGTATTGGATACAAGTAGTTTTACTTCTTCATCGAGCTGTTCTACTTCTCTTAACGGAACTGAAAGGATGATTTTCTTTTCAAGGTCCAAGCTTTGCTCTAGTCTGCTCTCCTGTTTACTGGTCTAAGAGCGCTGTTCTTGTGGATAATGGTGTCACTGAGAACAAGAAAGAAGAATGGGAAATTGATCACACTTGGATGTAGTTTACTAAAATATTTCGTACAACTCTATTAAGTCAAGCATTTTGTTTTTGTCTGTAAGCCAAAATTCTAAAGTTTCACCTAAATATTTTGCTGAAAATATAAAACGTTGTAAACGTTCGATGAATTTTTAAAATAAAATACAAATAAGTAATAAATTCGGAGGGATTGTTAGAGTTTAATTTTTATTTACCCAATTTCAGGAACAAATAACGGCTCATCGCAGTTAATCTGTCAATTAAATTAACAATTGGCTTACGCATTGTCACCGTAATAATTGACAAATAAAATTAATTATTACGTATTTTAACTAACATTTAATTGCGATGAACTTTAAGTCAATTTACTCAGTGACGTTGGTCGATTGATGGGTATTTTATAATTTACAGGTGAGAAGTCGATTTATCGCCAGGCTGACTAGTTATCTGGAGGATCTTTTCAATTATGTCAGTAACAAGGTATCCAAGGAAATAGGAAAATGTCGACCGCTATGGGAAATTTTTCATTCGACTCGATTTTACGTTTGCAAGCTAATTGTGGATCCGGTGGTAAGGGACTAGGAAATTACTTTTAAAACGGAAATTTAAATCGTGATTATACAAAAAACTCCTCGATAGATGGAGAAATGAAAGGAAATATTTTTCTTATTGCTTTTTTTGCCGTCGTTGAACTTGTTCAGTTGGAATACAATTTTAATAAAGTATTTCTTGTAAGAAATTTTCCTATGAAACCGACATAACCTAACTACGGTAAGAACATTTAGAGGGTGATTCCTTAGGTCGTTTTATAAAAAAAATTCTAGGAACATATACGTCCGGAGTTGCTTCGTCTCTAAGATATAGGGTAATCAAGTTAAAAAAAATTGTTATTTTGTAAATATCATGAATAAATTCGGTACAGCTATTTTAAATAATAATGCGCTTATTTAGCCCTTACTAGTTTTAAAATATTGGGTCCAGTGGCGTTTTAGTGGGCACCTGTAGGTTGTGAAGTTGGACGCCTGATGATATAAAATTATATCTATTTGATTTCAAAATATAAAATATACATATGAGAAACGGCTGTCTTGTTAATATATTTTTTGTACCTCGGGAACTAAAACATGCATTTTACTCCCTCATTTTAGGATATACAATGCCACTTTTACTTCCTTGGGACTTAAATATTTTAGTTCCAAGGGATTAAAAAATGTAAGTCCTGGAAATAACAAAATCACTAGAAACCATAGCAAATTACTTTATTCGGGAGGTAATATAACAAAACCTCTTTTATAAACGAATAAATTTATCGATGTTCCCGAAAATAGTTTTGTTTGAAACTGTGCATAAATTTTTATTTATTTATAGTACAATTATTCAAAACACAACTGGTTACTATAAAACATCAAAATAATAAATGTCAGTTTGACATTTAGTGTATACCTACTTGATTTACGCCTACCTTATAAGCAGAGGACCCAGGTTCAAACCACCGACAGGTTAGTTTTTTAATTTTAATTTATTTTTGTTTAATAACTTTTCATAATCAATAAGTAATCGATTAAATAATCGTTATGAAATAATATTGATTGTTTTTTTATCATATAATTATCGTGTAAATTTCAAAGTTTTTGTCCCTGCAGTACAAAAAATCTGATGTGTCCAACACATGACTTTCCTATCTAGTTATTATAGGCTTTTTCTGTTTATTTTGTACAACCTATTGCAACACCTCTATAAATGTTTAGAGGATAAACTAAATATTGTCGTGAAATTCTTAAAGTCTACCCTGTGTACGCGCGCGGCCTTCACATGGCAACCGACTCGTGATCGAAGCAACGCTGACGTGTAAAAACAGTCGGACCGCATATCGAATATACATGAAACGACAGAATGCCTGCCGCTGATGCACTGGAAACAGCTGGAACGGCGGGAAATGCCGTTAAGTCATAGAAGTGGAATGTTCGAGAGCCTCTGGTATCTTCCATTAGCGGAGTTGGACTAATATAAATAGTTGACGTATCGGCGCCGAGTTTAGTTGAATATATAACATTGTAATGAAAAGTTAAAGTGTAAGAAATAAATTAGAATTGTTAGTTAGTGTCTAAGTATTACATAAATTAAATGGTACTTATGAAATAAATTGTAAATAGTGTGTTTTAAATAAATAAACTATCGTTACATTGGTGTTAGAAGTGGAACTATAAATAAATAGTGGACAATAATGGCTAAAAGACTGTGCGATTTAAAAGTAACCAAGGTACGTCGAGAATTAGAAGAACGTGAACTGGAGACGACAGGGAACAAATCTAAGCTGGCAGAACGTCTTAAGAGAGCACTAGAAAATGAAGGTTTGGATCCGGAAATGTTTCTATTTTCGGATAATGCATCTGCTATAATTTCTTCAATTTCTTCAGACTTGGAAAACAAAATGTCTTTTCTGAAAAAGGAAATATTTTCTGTTGAGAAGAAAATAATGTCTTCCGTTGAAGAGAAAATAAAAGAAGATAGAAGAACTGGAACATTCAGAACCGGTCAAGGACGGTGAAATAAAGTGCCATGAGGTGGAGTCGAAATTAAAATTGGAAAGAGCTGTAAACTCTGCTCGTGTTAAAGCCCCAACCTTCGACGGAAAGATGTCATGAATCAACTATCTAAAACAGTTCGAGACAGCTGCAAGAGCAAACGAATGGTCTGACAGAGAGAAGGCAGTAAATTTGACCATCACTCTTCGAGGAGACGCTTTAGATTTTCTTCAGACAATACATGTGGAAGAGACGGATAATAATAAACAACTGAAAAAGAGACTCAGCATGCGATATGGCCACGAACACTTGGAGCAGGTGTACCGATTACCGTTAAAGAATCGCAAACAGAAACATGACGAGAGCCTTCAAGAATTCGAATTAGATATTGCGAAGATGATGCGATTTGCCTACATATCAGCTCCGGAATACAAGATTGAATGTTTGGCTGTTTAAGCATTCGTAGACGGACTTCGTGACCATAAAATGCAAAAAACACTTCGTTTAGCCCGTCACAAAACATTGGTCGACGTCTTGTCCGCTGCTCTTGAATATGAAGCGGCCACGCTGGCTTCTGGTGGATACAGTGAAGTAAGGACTGTACAAGAAGAAGAACAGGGAAGAAGTAAATTGGACTAATTGTTTCACATGATAAAAACCCTTATTGAGAAGCAACCGAAGACTATTAGGTGCTGGAATTGCGGTGAAATGGGAAATGTAAACAGTTCTCGCAAACGTCTAAAGAACACTACGAATCGAAAAACCGTGCTGGTGGCTGTATAGGAAGGAACGGTGTTACCTGAAAGTAGTAAAACCATAAGAGTAAGGCAGTTGCAAGGAACTGTAGAGAAGGCAACGCCTGTCATGGCGGAACCTTCGAAGCGCAATGGAACTCTGATCGAAAAGGGGTTGGTCACGACTGCTAAGGAGATTCCAGTCCGCCTTATAAACGTTAATGATCACCCAATTACCATCAAGAAAGAGATCAGAATCAGAACTTGTGTACCAGTAACTTCCATAATTCGTCAGACAACAACTTCTGATAATTAGAACGACAAATTTAAGCAAATGATTGCAGTTGCTGGTTAATCTCTGAATCATTTAGAGAAAAAGAAAATAAAGGAATTTCTTCGACGATATCGTGACATTTTTGTACCGAAAGGAGAAAAAACTGGAAGAACTCGTAAAACACAAAATTGACACTTGTGACGCCAAGCCAATTCGTCAATCAGCTCAAAGATTACCAAAGGCCAAAAGGGAGGAAGCTGAAAGGATTGTTCAGGAAATGAAGGAAGACAGGGTGGTAGAACCTTCTACCAGCCCATGGGTCTCTCTAGTAGTCCTGGTCCAGAAAAAAAATGGAACTACGAGGTTCTGTGTGAATTACCGTCAGTTAAACAATGTAACCAAGAAATACAGTTATCGACGATACCTTGGACACATTGGCCGGAAGTAAACTATTTTCTACCTTATACTGGTAGGTGGAAATGGACCCAGTAGACAAAGAAAAGACAGCTTTTACCACCGGATCTGGATTATGGCAATTTAATGTCATGCCATTTGGACTATGTAATGCCCCTGCGACATTTGAAAGACTTATGGAAAATGTATTGAGAGGGTTATCCTGGAAAACATGCCTGGTTTATTTAGACGATATAATAGTCTTGGGCAAGACATTTTATGAACATGTAAAGAACTTAGAAGATATTTTTAAAAGACTTCAAGCTGCCCAACTGATGCTAAACCTCAAGAAATGACAGCTATTTCACAATAAAGTCAATTACCTGGGCCATATAGTCAGTAAGGATGGCGTGGCTGTAAATAAGGAAAAAGTTGCTTCTATCAAAGAGTGGCCACAACCAACTGATAAACACCAAATTAGAAGTTTTCTTGGGCTTTGTACATACTACCGAAGATTCATAAAGAAGTTTGCAGATATTGCTAAACCACTAACACGACTCACAGAAGATGCAAGACAATTCTGCTGGGACGAGGACTGCCAAACTGCCTTTGATCATTAGAAAAGCATTTAACAACAGCACCAATACTAGGCTATCCACTATCAAAGGGCGAATTTATCCTGGATACTGATGCTAGTAATCTGGGAATTGGAGGAGTGCTTTCACAGATTCAGGAAGGGAAACAAAGAGTACTAGGTTATTTTAGTAAAGTGCTTTCGAAACCTGAACGAAATTACTGCGTTACAAGAAGAGAACTCCTGGCAGTTGTAAAGTGTGTGGAACATTTCTACCAATACCTGTACGGAAGGAAATTTTTAATCCGTACTGATCATGTCGCCCTTAAGTGGTTGATGCAATTCAAAAACCGGGAGGGTCAAATAGCCAGATGGATTGAACGACTTTAAGAGTAACGACTTTAAGATCGAACATCGAGCCGGAATAAGTCACAGAAATGCCGATTCTCTCTCTAGAAGACCATGACTAGCAGAGTGCTCCCACTGCAACAAAGCGGAATCCAAAGAAAGTGGACTACTAAGAACAACTGTAGTCAACGATGAGTGGGTTCCTGCTAAAATTAGGGAAGAACAAGAGAATGACACCGTTTTAAAGAAGATGCGACAATGGAAAGAGGAAAATCGTCGACCTACTTGGTAAGAAGTATCTAATCTCTCTCCAGTACTCAAGTCGTATTTGGCTCGGTAGAACTCCTTTATCCTGGAAGATGGCTTATTAAAGCGAGTACTTGAAAATGATGATGGTTCCGAGAATAGAAGACAGTTGGTCATTCCAAGAAGTAGAGTAGCTGAAGTACTCCGTCAGTTACACGACAGTTCATCAGGAGGACATCTCGGTGTTAGGAAAACCCTTCAGAGAGTTCGGGAAAGGTTTTACTGGATGAACAGTTCCGATGATGTAAAGGACTGGTGTAAGAAATGTACCACCTGTGCTATGAGTAATGGACCTCAACGAAAAAGAAGGCACCCATGAAGCAATACAACGTTGGTAGCCTATTTGAGAGGATCGCTTTGGATATTGCTGGACCATTCCCCGCGACCGAGGATGGTAATAAATACATTTTGGTGGTTATGGATTATTTTTCAAAGTGGGTGGAAGTCTATGCCATTCCAAATTAAGAGGCCGCAACTGTTGCAGATGTATTGATAAAAGAGTTTATCTGTCGATTTGGAGTGCCCTTGGAGATCCACAGTGACCAAGGCAAAAATTTTGAAAGTCAACTTTTCCGTGGAATCTGTGACATACTAGACATGAAGAAAACCAGAACCACAGCATTGCACCCACAATCTGATGGAATGGTAGAGCGAATAAATAAGACCATTGCCAAATATCTGTCAAAAGTGGTTTCAAACCATCAGCGAGAATGGGATCAGTATCTTTCGCTCTTTGCAAATGGCTTATAGATCCGCTGTTAATGAATCAACAGGTCAAACACCAGCAAAGGTTTTGTTTGAGCGTGAGATGAGACTACCGTGCGACCTCGAGTCTGGATGCCGACCTGGAGAAGATGTAGCTGGTGAAGATTATGTGATCCACTTACGAAGAAGAATGGACGACATGCATGAATTAGTTCGCTCGCATCTCCAAATCGCCAGCGACAGGATGAAGAAACGGTACGATACTCAAGCTACGGAGGGATGTTTCAAGGAAGGCGAAAAAGTCTGGCTCCATAACCCAACAAGACAAAAGGGTTATTCTCCAAAGCTTCAAAGGTCTTGGGAAGGTCCGTACCTCATAAAGAATAAAATAAATGATGTAATTTACCGTATAAGTAAGATTCCAAACGGTAAACCCAAGGTAGTGCATCAAAATAGGTTGGCGCCATTTGAGGGTGACCATGAGGAAGAAGTAATTCAACTTCAAGAAACACCAGACCTTGTCTTTGAAGAATTTATGGGTTGGAGGTACTGGAAAAGCCAGATATGGTGTTATGACCGAGCAACAACAAGACCTGCTCACGGTTCCAAAAGAATATTCGCTGGTCCATAGCACTTCTGCCAACATTTACGACGCTCGAGGCCTTGCATCTGTATTCCGGAAGAAGTTTGGTCGACTGCCAGAACTTTAAGATCAGTTACCAGCCCCTGGAAAAGCATTAAAACTTCTAGATGAATCGCGTTATCTTTTCTATTTGGTAACAAGGAACACCTTCCGAGATCGATCCACCTATCAGGATGTATGGAAAGCGTTACTCAGTCTGAGGGAGCATGTACTGGAGTCCAAAGATATGCCAAAGATAGAGAGCAACCAGCTGAATTGGAGGATCATTGGAAACATGGTGGAAGTAATCTTTCAAGATACCCAGGTTGAAATACTGGTCTGCAGCCATTCTCCCAGCATTCAGGTTATAACGAAGCAACCTCATACTGGGTAATGTTTTTCCCTGGATTTGATACCATAAATTATCGGCTTCCTGACGATTAGCTGATTTTAGACAGCCAAAGAAACCAACATCTAAAGATTCTAAAGGCTGCAGTCTATGACTGCTGTGAGGTGGAATGCTTAAAAGATGTATTCCATTTTCTCTACAGATAATTATAGCTTATGTGAAATGTATAGTTATCTAGCATTAATAAAAGCGGATTTTCTAATGATGGTTTTGCATGGTTTTTAAAATGTTGAAGCCATTTATGAAATAAATCGGTATTACTAAATCCACTATCAGACACCTTTAGGAGTGTACGGGAGCTCCGTGTAAAAGTTCTTCTTTTTTCTCTTTTTCGAGGATATATCAATACTGGTTGAATACAAACTTGCACTGGCACATACTACCGCAGTAATGAGCTGTCCTCTTTTTGCTGATACCACTTTACTCACAGTCTTTTTCCTTTGATACTTATTATATTTCGCAGTTTAGTTGGTAAAGTTAGAATACCGGTTTCATCCATTTTAAATATGGATTTACCGGTAAAGAATACTCTTAGGCAACTACCCTACTTCAAAAACTGTACTAAATTTCAACCAAATCGATTTAAGGATATTTATGATATTTTTGAAGTACACAATTTTTTTTTAACTTTAACACCCTACCCTGTATATTAGAAACGAAGCAGCTCCGGACATATAGAACCTTTTTTTTTTATAAAAACAGATCCTCCTTTAAGGTTTCTTACCATTGTCAGGAAACACCTGGTATAGTGACAAAAATGAAAAAAAAAACTGGCTCAAGTTTTAAATAATTTAAATGTTAAAATGTCTAAAACAATGAATTACCTCCAAATATACAAAATTATTAATAAAGTTAGGGTTAGGGTTAAAAGTTACAAGAGGGTATAACGAACCCACGACCCTTGGTATACTGGCCCAATGTCTTAATCAATAAAGTACAAGAGCTTAACCGTTCTGGATTTAGTAAATAATTTAATTGAATTGAGGATAGGTCATAATATTGATCTTATTTAGAAATGTGTTATAAATGTTTTTTTTAATAAATTGTAAATTTATTCAAATTGAATACAGTTTCTTGTTTGTGTTTTAGAATGCAATAGCGTTTTCAAGCTTCCTAGTGATTATCCTGTTTATAACAATATCACCAGTTGTTTTAAAATTAGTGGAATATTATAAACAGTACGACAATGAAGTATCATCCCTTTCATCAAGGTAAGTAATAAGAATGAGTCATTCTCTTCTAGGGAAGTTTCGCTATAATATTACTTTTTTAAAGCGATATAAGAATTGACGTTCTTAGTGGAAAATCAATAAATAATATTATACAAGGTGAGTCAAAAAGGAATACAAATATTTAAGGAGGGGGTATTAGGCATTCCAAACAAAATGGATGTCCGTAGGTAATGACAGGCCACTGACAGGCATAGGTTATGATATGGCAATACTGTGGACCTGGTGATTTAACAGGGTCAATGATATAGATAGTTATATAGATTGATCATCTATGTTTTTAAAAATAAACATAAGCTTATGACTTGAAGTACAAATGTAGGTAATTTTTTTATATTCAAAGGCTGAAAATTGGTTTTAAAACACATTTTTTCTAAACCGATTCAAATTAATGATCACTTTCCAGGCAATATGGCCCCTCGCAAACGACCCTCTTTAAGCAATCTATATAACTATATATGCACCATTGACCCTGTCAATAACAACAGGTCCAGAGGATTTCCATATCTAAACCTTAGATATCTAAACTGTCAGTTCCCACTGGCAGCATTTTAACAGGTCGTTAAAATGCCTAATAACATAAAAAATTAAGGTCAGTTTGCTATATAAACTAATGTTCAAACTTTTGAAATGCAAATGGGGAATGAAAAACCGGTTTTTCGGTGCAAACTATCAACTCCAAATTTATTGAAGAACTTAAAATTTTTATATTATTTGATTTAATGGTAAAACAAAAAAAATATAATTTTTAGAGGGGTAGTTTAAGAGGGTGGGTTGGTTATTCTTACCACTATTTTTTTAATTTTATCTTTTAAGAAAAATTGATTAAGAAAAACAAATTTCCATAGTTTTTCCTACAAAAAATGTATTTCTGTTTAAACGCGATAGAGTGAACCGTTTTTGAATAATTTGACGTTTAAAATGTAACTGCACAATAGATGATATTCATAATATCTTTAATAACATTGAAAGTTGCCATGTATTGTTTCAATATAAACTATCAAATAAGCTATGGAATGTCACAATTGTTTTAAAGTAAATGTGAATATACGGTGTGTTATTCGTGCAAGTATTATTTTTGTTGAGACGAGTACACGTTTGACGTGTATACCAAAGATATGCAGAAACATTTCCAAAATTCGGAATGTACCAAATTTGAGATTATTTCTTAACGTTAAAAGGCGACTTAGGGAAACAGGAAAACTGGAAGTGAAAAATAAGACTGGCCGAATTGCCAGAACAGTAGAAGCCGAAGAACAAATTCTTAATATTATTGAGCAAAACCCAATAGTCAGTACGATACACATCCTTAAAGTCAGGTAATTCGCAATCTACAGTAACTGAAATATTACGTGAACAGTCTTTTCGTGGTTTTCACTTTCGAAAAGTTCAAGAACTTTTTTCTGACGATTTACGAATCAGAATGGAGTCTTGCCAGGCAATATTAAAAAAAACCAAAGAGACCCATATTTTTTCAAAAAAAAAAATTATTTTTCCCGATGAAGCGTCTTCAATACGCACAACTACCATTTTTTTGCTGAAAAAATCCTTATTTCTAATTTTGAGATATAAAGTCGCAAAAAGTGTCAAAATGTTGAACATTATGAAACTAGTTACGAAAACTTCATTGTCACTACTTGCAAAAAGAAAACAGTTCAAAATAAACTTTTTTTGGTTTTAAAATCAATATATGATTTGTAAAATTTGTTCGTTAAACTAACATATAACAGTTTTTGTTTTGTATTTGGTGTTGTTTATAAGGCTCCTAATCTTTGTTATAAAATCTTTGTAAACAATCGTCAAACTAACTTGCAATTGGATCAAAAGCATGCTAGCAAACCGGAACATCATTTCATCACTGCAACTCCAGATGGTCACTTTCAGGCCTGCCAGAAGATGTCCACAAGGCAGTGTACTTTTACCCCTACTGTGGACCATTCTGGTGGATAACCTGCTAGACGATCTCTCTCGGCAGACAGGGGGAAGACGATCAGGTTATTATAATTAAGGAGAAGTTTGAAGAGGTGATCTTCAACATCCTTTAAAAAGCCTTTAACACGATCAACAGATGGTGCGAGATGGAGCAGATGTCTCTTAACCCCCGTAAAACTGTTATCGTTTTTTCACCAAGAGAAGAAAGCTAGATAAACTTTGACTAACTACCTTGGCTGGGGAATTCATTCCTTTTATGGAGGAGGTAAAATATCTGGGGATCATTCTAGATAAGAAACTCACCTGGAATCCCCAGTTGGATAAAACCATTAACAAAGCAAGGCTATCCCTCTGGAACCTCAGAACGATATGCGGCAAAGCATGGAGGATTAGTCCTCAACTGATCTACTGGATTTACCAAACAGTGGTAAAACCCATAGTTACGTACAGCTCTGTCGTCAGGTGGGACAAGGTACTTCAGCGGGCAGCCAGAGCAAAGCTGGCTGAAATACAGCGGCTTTCGTACCTCGCCATCACTGAAGCAGTGTTAACCATAACGACGGAAGCGACCATGCTGGACCTAATCCCTCTCCACATTCTTTTGGAAAGGGGATGGTCTCCTACAGACTCCTGAAGGTGGGTAGTCAATGCAACGAAGAATTGCAAAGGCGGGATCGATGAGTGAGGTTATATTTCACGCCTTGTTCTCGATAATCAACATAGTATTACCTTCTCTCTAATAGAATTTAATCACGATTTTGAAGGTGAACACCAAAAATCCATTAATCACACGTGAAATACATGCTATAAACCATGAAATGGTGACGCCTGACTTACTGTTTCTAGTGAAGCTAACTTTATTCTTCATCTTTGTGTTAAATTGAAACCACGTTCTATTTTTTTTGTTCACCTTAAGTACAAAATTTGTTAATTGTCATCGGAAAATCACGTCGCCTCAGCTCTGAGGGTGAGATTGTAGCTGTACGGAGTGAAGAAAAGAAATTGAAGAAAAAACTTAACCGACCAGCACATAAGAAAATCAAGAAGGAACCGAAAGACCCTAATAATTTACAAGAATATGAGTCTGCAGAATATTTCACTGATGGAGACAACATCTGTAAGTTGCTATTATTGTCATGGCCCTGGTTATTTCAACTGCCACATTATTATAATCTAAGTAAGACGATTATTTAAATAACGATCTGAGTGTGACGATCATACATGATCTGAGTGTGAGGATCAAAATGGTGATGTTTTGTTAATTTGAGTGAGATGATTAATCAAAACAGCTATTTGATTGTGACGATCGTAGAACCTTTATCACAACTTGAATAAAATCGATCTGAGTGAAAATATGGTTTGTAGGCCTCCATTAAAAAAGATCTTTTAATAAAATATCCTAGATCTTAGAACTGCGCATTGCTATCTCCACCAACACTTAACCTGGAGGTTAGGTCGGCAATAAGTGATAACACAGAGAAGTGTGATATAAGGTAAATTATTCAGCAGAGTCAACTCTCTTCCGAGATTATTGCCATAGGGAAATCACTGTCAGTTTTGAATGAGGCCAAACATGAAGCCAATGATAGAGTCTCTTAGTGACGCAGCCAGAATCCTGACTAACTTATTTCAGAAGCAGTCTGATATTAGACGAAATCTCTTAACGATTAATTAAAAGACACTTTTACCACTTCTGTGTCTGTTGGTTGGCTATTTGGTGAACATTTGTCAGATCGAGTTAAGGCCGCAAACGCTATAGAAAGTCAAGCAATGAACTCGGACATAAACAGGCAAAGTAAACGAACAAAGTAAAGCAGACAAGTTCGTTAAACATAGGTCCACCCAGGAATCGTACCTATCCGAGTACCAAACAAGGCCAATAAGAAGGTCCAACACAGCTCCTGTTCATCAAGCCGGTACCAGCAGAAATCTTCAGATGGAGAACAGAGAGGGAGAGAGCAGCAGCAGCAGCAGGCATTTGCCAGGGCAAGGCTTCTAGTGGGTAGACCAGTTTCACGAAAGATGGTAGACAATTCTAGCTGCTATTGAAGGTTACTAGTTACTTTTTCATTCTCGGATAATTCAAGAAACATTACACCCAAAAGATTTTTCCAACTTCTTATTTAGATGTTAAACACTTCTTCTTGCTCCATAAGATATTTTGCCAAATTCGTCGGAATTTTGGTAGTCGTCTGTCCGAATATCCAATACGCTTGGGCATATTCGAAGAGTTTGGAAAAAGCCAATTATTTGGCTTTAAACAAAAACATGGAAATTATGACAAAAAAATGATTATGACTCGGAATGTAAAGTAGGATATCAGATGGTGGTTGGTTAATATCAAGTCATCTTTTCAGATGCCGGTTTGTTAGGATGGGGATTTGCGTACAAAGGAAAAAATCGAATGGGTTCTGAACTAGTAAAGACAGAAATCATAACATAAATTATATAGAACTCCTTGCTGCATTTTTTATATTAAAGTGTTATGTAAATGATTGGAGTAAATGTGAAATGTGAAATACAGCAATCTCCTGTATCAGTCGAATGGGAGGGGTTCCTTTCGCTTATTAAATAAATAAGCCAAGCAAATTTAGCAATGGTGTAAAGCACGAATTATTCTTGTCTTTGCTTCATCAGTTAGCTCTAAAGAAAATTTTCAAGCAGAATCAAGAAAACGTCCCACCGAAACTGAATGGGAGCTTTCTGATTATGCATTCACTAAAATCATTATTAAACTGGGAAACCGAGTAATCAATATGTTTGCAATTAGAGTGAATACCTAATGTGCTAATTGTATATCTTGGCAGAAAGATCCCGACGCAGTAGCAATGGACTCGTTTACCGTTAACTGTGCACAAAATTTCTTCTATGTTTTTCCTCCCGTTCTCACAGGTTTTAGCAGTTTTACAAAAAATTATCAACGACAAGGCGAAAGGCATTGTAGTCATCTCATGTTGGCCGAATCAGCCTTGGTTTCCCTTATACCAGAAACTTTTATTTTCTAAAATTGTTTACCTTGATCCTAATATAAATTGTTATCCCTAAACAGGAACCCACATCCCCTATGGAGAAAATTTCTCTGGTAGAAGGAATATTATCAGCCACAGTCTGAAGTTAAAGGGGTTACCTGATTTAGTAGCAAGCATCATATTGTCATCGATTTTACCGGCTACAATGAAACAATATAATAGCGGATTTAAATCCTGGTGGCTGTTTTGTTCTCAGCATGGTTTCGACGTCTTAAGTACTCCAATGACAAATGTAGTAGCATTTCTAGACTCGCTGTATCAGAAAGGCGCTTCATATTCTACCCTATATTTTGCAAAATCAGCTCTAGCCTTAATGTATCCCAGTGTTGGAAATAATTACACTAATAAAATATTTTTAAAAGGGGTCCGCAATTTGCGAACCCCACCTCCAAAATATTAGGTGATCTGGAACCCGGCAAATGTAATAGATTTTTTAAGGAAACAATATCTTAATGAAAGCATTAGCCTTAAATTGTTAACTATGAAGCTAGTAAGTCTATTAGCATTGATTACAGCTCATCGTGTTTAAATATTTTCTGTTATAAAAACTTTAGATATTGACTTGAAAACAGAAGGATACGAAATAAAAATTCCCGCTAAATTAAAAACCACAATTAAAAATAGGGTTCAACCAATTTATATTCCATTTTTCCCCAGCAGACCCGAGGTTTGTGTAGCATCAACATTGCGTGCTTGTATGCAGAAGACAAGTACTCTGCGAACCACAGATACATATTTCATTTTTATAACCTTTAAGTAGCCTCATCACAAAGCAACTATCCAAACCGTTAGTCGGTGGATTAAGTCGACTTTGGCTAATTGTGGCATAAATTCCCTCACATTCTCAGGGCACAGTACGCGGCACGCTGCTACCTCTACAGCAAGTCGTAAAGGTATTTTCTCAGAAAAGCTGCAGGCTGGACTCCAAATTCATTGTGTTTTGCTACCATTTATAACTGGCCTCTAGCTTTAGGAAATGATTTTGCCAGAGCCATTTTAAGTTAGAAGTAATGTTCAGTTTGTTTTTTTTTAATTGTTTTATTAGGCTAGATTTAGTAGCGAATTTGTAAATTGGGGTATATTTAGACTCTTTGTGAAATAAAAAATGTTAATGCAACTGCCTCTAAACATCTACTATGTTGATAGTCGAGAACAAGGCGTAAAGTTCGATCTTAATTATATGAAACGCCTTGTCTCTTCATTATACTTCCCAACTCTTTTCGGTTACAGTTGCATGGGCTTTAAAAGAAATGAAGTTAGAAACAATATGTCAGGTGTCACCATTTCATGGATCATATCATGTTGTTTGCGTGTGATTAGTGGATTTTTGGTGTTCCCAAAAAAAAAATTTAATTCTACTAAAGAAAAGGTACTACTGTTAATCATCTTCGGACAAGGCGTTTCATATAATTAGGATCGATTTTCACTTAGGTAAGTTCGTTTGATCTTATAATAACCATCACATTCTTGGCATGGTATCGGACGCGCTAGTTTCCCAAAAGCACATAGAAAAGCCATACAGCATCCTCATTCCAGAGAGAAAGAGAGACGCATGGATCGAAGGGGATAAAACCTTCTCACAGACAGACCATGCGTTGTACATGGACGGCTCCAAAACTGAAAATGGAGAAGCGGGAATTTTCGGCCAGAGGCCTAAAGTTCACATATCAATGAACCTAGGCTCTCTGGCCAAGATCTTCCAAGCTGAAATGACTGCTATAGAATTAGGAGCGAAAGAGTTGAATAATTTTCTCCCGCAAACAAGACTATAAAGATCTTTTAAGATAGCCAGGCAGCTCTTAAGGCCTTGAGCTCCAATCGAGTTGACTCAAAGATGATTTGGAACTGTGTAAATACCCTTGAATGTATCGGTGCTCGGAACAAAGTTACTTTGATCTTGGTTTTGAGACACAGTAGTGTGGAGGGCAATGAAAAAGCCCACGCGCTTGCTAAAATAGGAACCGAATCTGAGTTCATTGGACCAGAATCATTCCTGGGTATTGCAAAGAGCACTGTCAAAGGAATTATCTTAAAATGAATGGAGGGTGCAACACTCGCGAACTAGAGAGATACCTCAAGGCTAACTCATTCGGAGGCGTTTATAACCAACCCTTCTATAAACGCCTCTGCTCAGATCTGAGAATGGAGTAGGAAAGATCAACGCATTTTCACGGGACTGATGACAGGACACTGCTGTCTGGGCAACAACATGAGAAGGATAGGTCTGCTACAAATATTAAAATGTTGATTCTGCTGCATGGAAGATGAATATGCAGAGCACATTTTATGTAACTGCTCCGCTTTGAAAAGAACCAAGTTTCAGATCTTCGGATTTACCCGACTTGAGCCTACCGACTTTAAACAAGTCTCACCCAATTCAACCGTGGCCTTCATCAAAAGGTGTGGATTGTACGGCGATCTATAAGTTAGTCATGAGTCACAATAGATTCATCTGGGTCGCAGTGTAAGGCGATGAGATCCTACCACTCATTTTCAATTTAACCTACATGTCAACTTGCTACAACCGCCATTTCTTGTTAAATCACGAATCTGCTCAAAGTCAGCAGTACCACGAAGAATAAATATATTGGACCCTTCAGGTTGGTCTTTTTCTACTATTCCCCGGACTGGTCACAAATACCTAGACCTTCTCACACCTTTTTGTTCAATGTTATCCTTGAAATATTTAGTTAATTCGTTTTTTCCAAGTACCTACAACCATTTAAAAACGTAACTTATAAGTTTTATTCTACATGTGGTCGATCATCTTCCTATATGATTATGAATTTTTCGTCCAAGGTATGTTACTTAAAAATGTTTTCATTGTAATTTTGTTAGAAACCTTTTCCTTTCTATTTTAGGCCTGATGATGGCTTTTGAGCCTAAACCGGTTGCCTGTATTAACATAACCTAGTTAACAAATAATTTATTAAAAAATTAATCTGTGTAGTACTGATTTTGAGAATTTTATTTTCGTTTATGAAAATGGCAACATTTGAGCAGTTGAATAACCTCTACGATTTATTTTTATTCCATTTTGACTCACCTTGTATATTTTTAATAATAAAATTTAAATAAATTTAAATGGCGCGCTCCATCCTTTCATAAATAACTAACCTGGATTGTAACTTCTTCAGAAACTCGTAATAGAAATTGTTAACGAAATTAAGTTAGAATAATTAAAATAGGTAGACCTAGATTTAATTATTAAAGAACCGAACCGTATTTGTTTCTTCTTTTTTGTTTGTAGAAACGGACTACTAGACGCGGAAAGCGCCTGGGCTTCTCCGACGTCAGGGTAAGTGAAAATTGAGTTAGAAAATCAGTTTTCCGGAAACGAGTATTACGAGTAACTTGCGTAATGGGCTTTTCAGAACTCCGCCAGAGATACAATTAGCGGAAAGCGTGCCACCTGTGTCTTACGAGAGGCCGACGACATCTACGTGGACTAGTCCCACTCCACCGAGGTAAGTTTCAATTTCTTTTTAAAAAGGTATTGCTAAAGTAATAACTGAACACTATATAAGTAAGTAAATAAAATTAAAACAAAACTGTTTTGCTCATTTTGACATAAAAAGCGGCATCTTCTGTAATCGCAGCAAGTGTTAAAAGGATCTACTTTACGTATACAGTTGCTTAAAGTTAAACATTATAAAAGTGGTTACGAAAAATCCATTGCTACCAGTTACGAAAAGAAAACAAATAAAATAATAGCTATTTATATAATCAGTTACGAAATGGCTTATTTTGCGTAACGAGTAAATATTTGCGGGACGAGTGGAGGGAGGTCCCGCAAAATGAACGAGTTATACAAAACGGCATTTCGTAACGTGTTACATGCAAGATTTTTTATCATTCTTTTGTAAGCACTTCAAATATTTCAGAAAATTGTTGTATTGATTGAGCCACGACGTTTTTTTTTTTAATAATGATATTAATAAAAATAAGGGGCACGTGCAGTGTTCGCGATTTGAGTTTTGACATTGCCCGCGGGAATTAAAAAAATAGTTTTGACCCGATATCCCGTCTCTCAACATTTCTGGGCAGTTTTTAATATCAATTTTCAGTTCTTTAAAAATGAAACCGCAATTTATGCTTTTTTGTATTCATTTTATTTGATGTTTTAATATTTCGATTTTTCGATTTTCGATTTTTCGATTTTTCGATTTTTCGATTTTTCGATTTTTCGATTTTTCGATTTTTCGATTTTTCGATTTTTCGATTTTTTGATTTTTCGATTTTTCGATTTTTCGATTTTTCGATTTTTCGATTTTTCGATTTTTCGATTTTTCGATTTTTCGATTTTTCGATTTTTCGATTTTTCGATTTTTCGATTTTTCGATTTTTCGATTTTTCGATTTTTCGATTTTTCGATTTTTCGATTTTTCGATTTTTCGATTTTTCGATTTTTCGATTTTTCGATTTTTCAATTTTTCGATTTTTCGATTTTTCGATTTTGAAAATGTTTCCCTTTAACGATATATATCAAGATATATTTGAATGTTATTTTCTGGAAAACTTTAAGGGCAAACAAAATAGCGCTGTCTTACCTTATGTGATTTTTTTTAATATAAAATAATTTTTTTAAGCCACTTTGCTCAGGATTGGGATTGGCACAGGTGCCATTTGGTAAAGTAAGATATTTTTCCATGCTTTTGGGATATATTTCATTTCGTTATCAGATGACGGTAAAAATTTGCAGTGGTCTCTTGAGCTATATTATTATATTTTAACTAATTAAAATTAGGCGAGCAACAAAGCTGTCACTTAATCTAAGTTAGCGGAAAACGTCAACTTTACGTTTAGATTTCAGAGCGCAGAAGCCTATTTCGGACAGTGATCGTAGAAAAAAAATATTCGTATGCCTCCAACTTACGTAGGCATACGGAAAGCTTTTCTTTAGTGGCTTTCGAGTAAATTAATAACAACACATTAGGTATTCCACTAAGAAAAAAACATTCGCTGCAAATGTATTTCAAGCTTAAAAATATAAATGCATGTTTCCTTGAAAAATTTTTTGTTTTTAGTTTTTAACATTTTTAACTAAAAAATTTGGAAAACCAATATTTTCTTTACAATAAAGCTACTCATGCTGCATCTCGCTAGGACGCACCATTTTCAAGAAAAAAGCATTTGAAAATTTCATGATGAGTTCATATTTTATTCGAAAGTGCAAACAATAATTAACAGACCTGTGGAATCAGAATTTTTTTTCAGCTTTGGAAAACCGGTGACTAAAGAAATTTGTTTAGCTTTAATTGTTTTTTAAATGTTTATTTTACAATGAATCTTTATTTAAACTAATAAATTGTTTTTTTAATGGTTTGGTTGGCTTTTGCCCAATAAAATGATTGATCAGAATTTATTTCTTTAACTGCCGACGTTCAAACTCTTTTAAGGTAATCCTTAAGATGATAAAAATAAGTCAGATACGTTAAACATCGTAAAATTATAGCGAAACTGTATTTGAAATTAAGAATAGCTGGTGATTTCTTGAAAATACGAAGTTTGACTGAGTTAAGAGGAGAAATCATTAGTTACCTACTTTTAATTATTGCAAATGCTGTTTGATAATAATTTTAAGCTTTTTAATGTAAAGTATCTACTTTTATTTTCATGAGGATTACTTAAAATAGGTCAAAATAACGACAATAAACAAATGATTCTTAAAAATTGTTTCTGTCTATAATACTAAAAATTATACCAAAAATAACAAAAATTCTAATAAAAATAACAAAAATTCTACTAAAAATAACAAAAATTCTACTAAAAATATCAATTTTTACAACGGTTAAATTAAGTGTTCAAAAACGTTGCCTTGCTGACGAAGGCACATGTCGGCTCTACGGGTAATTGCATGTGAAGCTCGCATAACTTCAAAATTATTTTGCCGTATTTCATTCCCTGCCAAACGTATCCTTTCACGTAACTCTTCTTCACTGTCAACTTCTGTAGCGTATACCATATCTTTTATACGACCCCAAAAATAATAATCTAATGGGTTTAAATCCGGAGATCGAGATGGTTACGGTATGGGACCACCTCTTCCTATTCATCTACCCGGAAATCTTTCATTTAGCCAATTTCCCACATTAACGCCATAATGGGCTGGCGCTACGTGTCGTGCTGAAAGTGCAGCTGATGTCGAATATTTAATGGAAGATTATCCAGAAAGGGTTCAAGGTGGGTTTGTAAAAATTCAGATACTCAATTGCATTTAACCGAGCAGAAATTTCAATCGGCCCAATTAATCTCTCATTGAATATTGCCGCCCAAACATTAATAGAAAATCTATATTGAAAAAATCAACGTCGCACCACCCGAGGATTTTCTTGTGAATAAAAATGATGATTGTGAAAATTAAAAACACTATCTCTTTTAAATGTAGCCTCGTCGCTCTACATAATAAAAAGAAGGAGTTCCTGTTGGTTTCTTATCCATTCACTAAACTCCATTCATGGTAAAAAGTCGTGGGGTGTTAAGGCTTGAACACGCTGATAATGATATGGATAAATACCCTGCATTCTTAACATTCTTCCAACCTAAATGAACATATTTTTTGAAAGACACGTAAACTAATGTAAGAATTTAAAAATGCCTTTAATCTGAAACTTGTTCGTTTTATTTTACTTGTAAATTTGAGCAATAAAAACTAAGAATAATAAAATGGTATAAAGAAAAAGGGAAGTAATTATTACTTACTATTGCTCGTGGTATTTCTAAAAGTGTGGAAACAGTTCGAATACTCCTTCTCCTCTCCTCTTCAAATCAATTAAGGGCATGTTCCAAATTGTTGATCCCATGTGGTCTCCCTTGCCCACGATCACGTTGAAATGAACCATGGTCAACCAAATTTCTGTGTGTATTAATAAATACGCGGTAGTTAGATATTCTTCGGTTAGGAAACCGTCACGGTATGCTCTTGCCCTTCCATTACACAAATCTCTCTATTTATTAGAAGTATTTTTTTTTCACGAAAAAAAAGTACAAATAGTTATACAATTGACAGCCAATTTTTATTTATCAAAAAATTGAAAAGCAGCTATTGGATTCCAGGCCTACTAATTTCTGTTTGCACTTTCAAATAAGATAATATGAACTTATAATGAAATTTTCAAATGCTTTTCTCCTGAAAATAGTGCGTCCTAGCAAGATGCAGTAAGAGTAGCTTTATTGTGAAGAAAACATTGGGTTTCCAAATTTTTTAGTCAAAAATGTTTAAAAACTGACAACAAAAAAAAAAACTTAAGCCCCCCCCCCTAATTTACCCATCTATGAAGATGATCAAAAACTGGTATTTAGTCCATTACATAGAGCGTAAAAAGGTAAGCATTTGTACCAAATTTCACTTAGTTATCTTTAAACGTTTAGAAAATATTTACAAAAGTGTGTCATCAGGACTTCTTTTTTAACACCCTGTATCTCGGAAAAGAAACGTTTTCGGACCTATGTTTATATGAACTTTTACTCCTATTTTAGGATATAGATTACGTTGTTAAAATATGACCGTCTAATTTCGGGACACCCTGTATATAGAAAATAAATTTTAAATTAACTTAATAATAAATAAGACTTAAATTTCCACTAAGTGAAATTAAAGTACGTATTACCTTTACTAGTACTGGAAAAATATTTAAGTCGGAAATTATGTACAATACGGTATATGGAAAGTATATTTTCCCAATAAACAAAATTAAATTAAATTTTCTGGTCAAAATAATAGAAAAAAAACGGTATTTAATTAGAACGGAGTAATTATTTTTTAACTATACGGTTGACCAACTAAGAAGTTAAAAAAAAAAATAAAAGAAAACGGGTAGTTACGACACTCCCCATATTAGAAAAATGAAGTTTACTATGACTACAGTTAAACCATATACAATGTAGGTCCAGTACAGGCAAACCCTCCTATAAATTCGAATGAAGTTTTCGGAACCCTCCTGTATCCTAGTTCTAACCGATCGTCGGTGTCCGTCTTGTCAAGCGAGAATGATATCTACCACGGTGTTTGGACGAAATATGCGATGGCTAGAGTAATAATATTATTTTGAGATTTGCCAAAGGCGATCAAAACGGTGTGTGATTTAAAAAAGATAGAAAACGTCGGGCTTCGTTCAGAAATTAGTTGTTGGTGCAAAACGGAATGATTCAAATAAAATTGAATAATTAAATAAAAAAAAAGAAACTTACATGAAGTGAGGCGCGAAAATTAATTTAGATGTCTTTTAGGGAAATTAGATAACGTCGTTGAGATAGAGTACACTCGTAACTCGAGAACGGATCGAACCTACGAAAAGGAAAATAACTTGGGCGGCATCCCGAAGATAATAATAAAAAAATTAAAACGGGTTGAACCTCTCAGATCAGTGTCAACTGGGCGCTTCTTAAAAGAGATTGGATAGAGTCGTCGAAATGAAGAGTACTCGCAGTCTAGCCTATATCCAGTCTCAAATTAAAAACTGCCAAC